TTGATAAAAAAATTCTCAGAGTCCACAGACGGAGAGTTAGAAAAAGAAAACCTTTTAGAGTAGAATGAGCGATAAACAGTCAAATGAAAATTGGAGTAAAATTATTTGTTCTTTCAGTCACTGTGACAAGTAATCTGCAATCCTATTGTAAATGTGTTCGTAATTGCTAGATATTAAACGTAAACACGGCGTTTTTAAATTCTATATATTTAAAATCAACGAGAATCCAATTCTAATCACAGATGAGAATCAAGTACAGAATGCTATATTCAAATGCTTTTCAGTGGATTATTACGAATTGTATAAGAAATTCATATAGAAGATCTTTTGTACATTATACTGTAGCGCTAGATTTTTTATGTTTTTGGACACGAACTGTGTCTGAAATTGCAAAAAAAAAGTTTTAATGGATTGTTATTTTTCATTAAAACACGAACAATGAAGAAATTCGCGTTCATAGTAGACAATAATTATTAATTAATAAGCTACCTATCAGGTCACGAGAATTTAGAGACGATGGAATGAGAAATTCTTTTATGGTCATCTAAGACAACACAAAGATGTCCTCCAGTTAGTTAATCTTAAGTTTAATCTTAAACTTAAGTTCTTACATTACTCTAGAAGGAAAAGTGAAGCAGCTCGGAATAAACCCTATGGTCTCGCACGAGACGTACTTTGTTTTATCAAAAAAATATGATTCGCTATAAATGAGGTGATCCCGTAATTGATATCTTCTAATAAGTCTATTAATTTTTCTATCGGGTTGCTTCTGTTCCGCACATCAAATCCAAGAAATTTTAAAAATTATCTGTATTAAGCTTACTTCTTACATTTTGCAACAAACCTCTTTAATTCAAGAGCTAACAACTTAAGACACAAAATATATTTTAGTTAGTTTAGTTGGCTCTGGTCTTAGCACCCGCATATTCTGGGCATCGGGAGACCACGGGATTTTTCGCAAATACGCGGATCCAAAACAATATCGATACAATTACGGTATCTCGATTTTTCCTATGGCGATCGAAAAAGAAAAGAGAGCGGCAGAAGCTCGCATTTTGTATTGAGAAAGTAGAAATTCTACGCCGTTCCATCTTTTCGGCAACGAAAAATTATACAAATTCGATTAAAAATAAAATAAATTTATTCAGAATCAACTTCCTGGATTTCTTGTATAAAGTTATAATATTTTACATTCTCTTTCTTCACGAATAAATAGATTCTTGTCATGTTCTTATTCGCGGTACTCTTTTGGTTGTAGCTGAAGCGCAATATTTTAAATTGTACACACCGAAAACGCATTGATGCGCATTTATTTTTCGTTGTTTAAAGTCTGAAAGCTTCTAAAAAGAAAATAATAGAAAAGAAAAGAGATATATTTTCTTCTTTTTTCCATTCTCATAAAGTATGAACTGGCCTTTATTGACCTCGATTCTTCTTCCGTACGAAACAGTCATTTAGGTTACATCAATCGGTCGTTGATTTGTGCACGAAATTCTTTGGCGTTTGTCATAAAAATTGATTGTAAAGTCCGAAGACTTTCTTCGAGTTCCAAAGTCCACTAAATGATTAAATTTCTTTAAATGGGATGAACGATAGTTTACAGCGTAGTCAGCGTTTAGAATATCTGAATTTCACACAAAAACTGTAGAATAGCATTTAAGCCTGTATCAAATCTAAAGTACAATAGAATAAAAGGAATTTCCATCTACAATTTCTAAAAAAAGAGACGAATTCGTCCCCCCTTTATTATAGAACGGAATCGACTAAGACCGAAATGTGAGCCTGTAAAATCAGATTATCATTCTTTAATGTTAATACAGCAGAAAACGTTTGCAGACCAACGTTTTGCTTACGTTAGAGATACCGAACGAACCAATAGTTCGAGATGTTCCTTCTGATACGTATAGTCTTTGACGTCTAGTGTCATTACGTGTGGCGATCGGCGTGATTAGGCATATAAGCGTTACTAAAGACAACGTAATTTCTCGTACCGACGACGTAGAGATTGTTATCGAAACGTTGCGTTTAGGAACTCGGCAATTGTTAGACAGAAAATACGTCACGACGTTTTGGTAAAAGATTTTTTATTGGCCGATATCCGCACCGAAATTTTCTCTCCCGTCTCCCGTTGGATTGGGGCGGAAATTTAGGAAAATATATTTACGTTTTCCATTTCCGATAGCATTTCCGCACGAGTGAATGCCTAAATCTCCATTCCACTCGCAAGTTTCTAGCAACTGCGACGAGTTGTTTAAGCCAGAAGGCGTAATCCACCGATTGGGTTATCGGATAATTACGTTTGGAGATATTTTAAAATTTATTTTAATTTAATTTAAATTTTATTAATTTAAGTTTGACAGAAGAAGATAACATAGCATCACTTTTAACTTATTATTTCAACATTATTATTACTGTATCGTACAGAATATCAATTGAAAAAATAGCATTACTCTTATATACATACTAACGAAAAAATAGTAATATGTAAGCCTAGTTGTTTTTTATATATTATAGATTCAACTTATAGGTAATATACAAGCTAGAAACACTAGCATGGTAAGGTAAACCTAACGAAACACGAAAAAACGATTTATCAATATCTTTAAACTATTTATTAGGTAGGCCGGTGCCATTGTTCAATGGCATATTTCGTCTTCCTTTTGTATAGTACTTATATATAATTTGTCTTTTTGTAGTCTAAAAGGTTAAATAATGTTTAATACTTTTAATAATTCCAATAAATTGCGATAATTTTTTACAGAAAAATTTTATATGATTTTTCTAGTTAATGCCTAAACACGAAATAGGATTAGTAATATTGATTTTCTCACCACTCATGTATCAATATTTTGTTTCGAGTTTCAATTTGTAAATATTATACCGTGTGTTTTGTCTAAATTAACAGTAAAATTCGAACCGCTTAGTTTGGATTATTGAGCGGATAGAAGAGTCTTCCTTTATACTTCCTTCGTCTTCGTTTCTTAAACGAAGAACCAAAAAGGACGTCGGAACTTTCCTCTCGGTAGAGGAAGTTGGTTTCGACCACGAATAACCAGGCATTTCTCGCTTCGAGTGATCGTTGGCCTTCGTCGTTTCCGTTTCCGGAATTCGATTCCGCAATCGACGGACGAATCAACGGCTCCCTTCCGTGGACGGTGCGCCGGCCGTTGCCGTTCTACTTTCGTTTCTCTGTCGAGATTTATTGTCCGTGTAGAGAAACGGCGATCTCTTCCGAAAGAAAACCGGAAAGGTTCTTTCCGACCGGTACCGAAGTTATCGGAAAGCGAGTGAATTGTTCCAAGGAAGGCGCGGAATCTTCGAAGGAGAATACGGGAAATGAGGAACGATGTTTCGGGAAAATACAAGTAAAATATAAAAACAATAGGCGCCTTTATCGCTAGAGAAAATATTAACGAGAAAATTGTAAGGCGACATCTTAAAAAAACGATTCGAATCGAGCATGGGGAGACGTGAGAAAAAACGTCTTTGGTCCCGGTTACAGCGTTTTAACTCTACTCTTGTCTTTCAGAATTACGATTGTCGAACGGAGGACACGCCGTTCCTACCGAAAAATGAACAACCACAATTACAGTTTTATTTTACGAATGGCTATTATTAATTATTATACAAACTAACTGGGACTATGGCAAAGAATCTTTCGGGATGCCCGAAATAGAAGATACACAAAACAAGGAAGGAATAAAGTAAACTGGGAACAGTTAATAGACGAGTCGAGTTCCTTTCCTCTCGATGGATTTTAAAAAAATCAGCTCTTCTCGGAATGTTTTTGCCTCCTTTCAAAAAACGAGGAGAAGGTCGATCGAATTAGCGGCTTTAAATGTCGCAAATATTCTCGTTTATTTAACGTTTTCTTTTCTTAAACGACGTTTCTAATTATAAATTTAATTTCCTATTTAAATTTCCATTTTAATAATAAAGTTATTTTAGAATCTTCAGTTAAATCGATGAGGAAAATAACAATCACCAAATTCCACCCGTAGTTTAACTAAACATCGTCTTCGACTCCGGAACTCGTCCGAAAACAACCGAAACACCTTTAAACAAGAGTCTGATTGTTGCAAAAGAAAGAAATAAATAAAAGGAATGGGTCGTCGTCCAACTGTCTCGGCCTTTCAGTAAAATCAATTCCTCCAAACGACGATTGGCAATCTTTTAATAATTCAAAGCAGTGTTTCGAATCGACAACGCGATTCCTTCGTCCCATCCTTTCTAATACAGTCTCTTATTCAGTCACGTTCCGAAAAAAAATCATAAGTCGAAAATAAAGATAAATGAATAAAAACTGAGGCTATTTGCAAGGTTATAGTATTGTACGTAACGCGAGTTTGGTCTATCGTCGATTGCGCTAGCCCAAACCCAAGAACGATGGCCATAACTGCCACGCATCGATATCTAAGTTTCTATCGAGACACAGAGGGCAGTTTTGCAGACTTAATGGGTATACTGTAGAACGTAAGAAGGTATAAGACGGTATATATAAATAAAAGTCTTAAAAAAGATCGTTAAGGCATCAATAGAGCGGCTCGAATTCAAATCCTAACACCATTTTCTCATGCTTCCGCTTCACTCGCATCGGCCATGGTACTGTACGGTACATGCGAAATATCGAGAAGCATCTGTATTTTGCTGATGCATTTGATAACTTCTCGGGACTAAATACGACGCCTTCCGAAAATCCAATTTAAGTGAGAGAACAGGCCTGTTTATCCCCTTCCGTCCGTTTTCTGGAAACTTAGACAGGCTCTGGAATAGAATAGCCTTACTTTCCTTTCGCCCGCTATCTCTTCTCCCGGGTGAACCCCTCGTCCTTGGCCGCCAGTCCCCATGGACCGGGGAAAGCCATTGGAAAAAGGGACGATTTTCTTACAGGGAATGTTGGTTCGTTCGTTGGCGCCGAAACACGGGGACCGCCGAGAGGCGCGCCGGAACATTCTCCGCGGCACGGGCTCCGGCGTCGGCGCGGGAGCATGCGCGAATAGCGGAGAGCGTCCGGAGTCGGCCGACTGCGGACGTAGAAGAGGAAGTCGGATCTTTCCGCTCGACGCTTTCGCCCATTACCGAGACCACCGGGCGCATGGCCCTCTCTCGCCTCCCTTTCTGAAGGTAAGAGCTTTCCTCTTCTCTTCCGCCGGCGGCTCTCGGCGCTTCGGGCTCGCCCACCCCGCCTGGTACTCGAGCGCTAAAGGGTTTTCGGAAGACGGCTCGGGGACACGAAAATGCGAGGAAAGGGTCGGGGATATCTCCTAACCTTTTTGCCGTCGAATCGGAGGCAAAAATCGATATCGGGCGTTCGACGCGGCCGACAGGAGAGCGGGGAGAGAGAGATCCACAGACGGATGCCTTCCAACGGGTTTTCCCCGCCGACGCTTCTTTTCCGCGGAATTCCGGTCGATAAAGAGACGCGATTTTCCGGAGTTTACCCCTGGATTCCACCGGAAACCGACCGTCGGATCGTTCTCTTCGGAGTCTCCCGTCTTCTCCGCCGATTCTCTCGGAAAGGAAAGGGACGGAAAATCGCCGCATTGACCGCAGACGACGTCAGAACGTTTCGCCTACCGTTCTTTTGTTCGGCCCGCTTTTTTCTTCGCCGAAACCGTTGTTCCGACCCCAATAGGAGTTTAGATTCGCTCCCCTTCGAATCACTACCGGAAACGAAACGGGACGAGTCTAGTTTCCGGTCCGTAGTCGCTTCCGGTTCCGATCGAGAGTGGCCGAGATAAGGCCTCTACTACGAAGAATCGATCGGAACCGGAAGTGTACGCTTCGACCGGGGATGGCATCGATGATAAAATATTCTTTGGTCCTTAAAAGGTGCTCGATTAAGGGCTAAGAAATCCGAGGAGAAGGGGCGGAAAGGAGAAACCGCAATTTCGGCCGAAGGGTCGTTTAATGTGTAATTGAACATTTAAGCCACAACCTTCGTACTCCAAGTTTCGAAAAAGTCCGAACCCGACGGACGACGAACAAGGAAAGTCGCCAGACAAAACTTTTTTTGCACGTTTTTAAAGCAAATTCCCCTCTCGCGGGATAGAAAAACTCGCAGCGAATTTGAGAAACGACCGACGAGGGGGAAATCTGCAGAATATTGCCTTTCCGTTTCCGTTTTCCGTTTCTTCCGTAAACTTTGAGAGGGAATTGGATTAAAGGAAAGAGTGTCGTAGGGGACGTCGGATAGAAAGACGCAGTTCCTTCCAAATCGATCCGCGCTAGTTTGTCTATTTCCTACGAAACCGGAAAAATCCTCGTCCCGCTTCTGAAAAACCGGAAATCGTTCCGTTTGGTGGGAGGAATGAAAGTCCGATCTCTCTCCTTCCTTATTAATCGTCGACTTTCGGAGTTTATTCCACCCCTTTCGAGCACGGCGGTATTCGGAAGGAAGTGGAAGACTGAGAAAATTCCACAAAAATCGGAAGGGTTAGTAGGATTTTCAGCGCGCGCGACCGATCTCGGGAAGAATCGATCGGGAACAGTACGAGGAGGAAATCGATGGGAGAAGGAGGAATGGTCGAAAGTGGGGAGGGCTAACGAGATTTTCCGGTGAATAAAAGGCAAGGAGAAACCGTCTCGGGGTTTTTAAGGAGCGGAAGACGACGTCTCCTCCGACGCCAAACTTGGAATGAAGAAGGGTGGCGAGCTCGTTCTCTCGTTTTCTGTTAAATCGTAACGTTTAACCGAAAGACTTACAATTTAAAGAAGGGAAGGATAGATGTAAGAGGGACGAAATTAAATAAAAAGACACTTTTAATAAATCGAAAAATGGCGTTAACTTCTTACGGACGAAGTTTTGCACGCGATTATGACGTCAATAAGCTTTCGTGTTTCGACGCAACCCGGCGAGTGATCGCGTCCGAAATCGCACGCGAGGGGAAGAATGACAAAATAACGACCTGTGTAGTTTCTTTCCCGGGAACTAAAGATTTCTAATTCCTCGACCTCGGTAATTTTTTGCTGCCGGAACGAGCGGGATACCTCCTTACTTTCTCTTAGCGCTTAATTTTCCAGTCGCAAAAGACTAACAAGAAAAGTGTGGTAAGGAATTCTTCCCTACGGGAAGACTGATTCGGTCACAACTCTAACCGTTTCTTTTTGTTTGTTTTTTACAGCCCGAAAGTCGAAAGAATGTTTGTAGACGGGGATAGGAATCTCCGGCAGAAATTGCTGAATTTAGTGGGAAAATTATTGAGGACCAAAGACCCGGGATCGGCCGCTGACTCGGACCCCGACGCCAGAACCCAACTCAAGGTGGGAGGAGAATCTGAGTATTTCCGGGACGGCCCCCTCCCCATCCGGGACTGACGGTCTTGGGTTCTTTACAGAAATGTCTGACGACGTTGGACCTGACTTCGCTGGGAGTGGGCAGCTGCGTGGGTACCGGAATGTACCTTGTGGCGGGAATGGTGGCCAGAAACATTGCCGGACCGGGAGTGGTCATGTCGTTCCTGGTGGCCGCCGTCGCCTCCCTCTTCTCGGGTAACTTATTTCTCCTTCCATCCTTCGAACCTCTTCCGAATTATCTGAGACGGGCGTTCGGGAAGGGATCCTTCTGTTCTGTCAAAGGTTTATTCTAGTCGAGACGATGTGATGGAGGGTTTTAGGAACGGGCGGTTGACAGAGGAATCGTGAGAGAAGAAAACGGGTCAGACCTCGTTTCTCTCGGTCGAAGGAGAGAATTAGGGAAATTAGACGAGCGACGTTGAAAGATAATAAATTTGGGGGGGCGAGAAAGGAAAGAAAATTTATTTCTGCTCTTTAATTAATTCTGCACTAAATTAAATTCTCCTTTTTTTCTTTTAATTTCTCAGTTAAAAAAAAGAAATTTAAAAAATTAGAAATTTTCTTTTCATTAAAATCGATTGCGAAAACAGTCGAAGGACGATTACTTTCCAACCAGGGAACACGCCAATGTTTAGAAGTCGATCTCAAATTTCTTAAAACGGAGATGGTCCATTTCCTTCGTCCGCTCGCGAGAAATACCGACGTCGTGGCGATGATCCGATTATCGAAAACGTAATTTCCGGTAGAACTTTCATCCCTCGGCGACGACGTAAACTTAAGTCGTTTCGATGTTCGCGTCTTTAGCCCGGGCGGGCGAAGCTTTAACCTCTATTTGGGGGCGCAGGTGTGTGCTACGCGGAGTTCGGAGTTCGAGTGCCTCGCACCACGGGTTCGGCCTACATGTACAGTTACGTCACAGTGGGAGAGTTCATCGCCTTCGTCATCGGATGGAACATGATACTGGAATACCTGATCGGAACGGCGGCGGGAGCCTGCGCCATCAGCGCCTGCATCGACTCTATGGTGGACGGAGCCATAGGCAAGACCATTAGAGACTCTCTGGGAACTTTCATCGGTAAGTCTTTACAATTTCCTTTCTCTCTCTGACTTTATCGGGCGGGCGGGATGACGGAAGTTGCGCTCCATCTTCCGCTCCCACTGGCGTTCCGGCCGTTTTCTCGTTTTTTTTTCTTTATAAGCAAAAAAAAAAGCGTGCGAAATCAAGAAAATCGACAGCCACACTCGGGAATCAAAAACAGAAAAATTCCGGTTGTCATTATAAACGGGTGGAAAACGCAGAATGTTTTCCGACCAACGTCGATGATGAAATTCATGAAACTTAATATCTTAGAACTAAAGACCAACTATACAGAACTAAAAACACGCCAGGAGATTGTGGAAGCTGCTCGATGCAGAGTCTAATTAATTGTGTAGAAAAGAGTCGAAGACGGAGGAACTAACTTTTGAAAAACCGAAGAGTTGAGGGAGGGAACAATTATTCCTATCAACAAATTTGTGGCGAGAAAGAAATTAAGGAACGGGTACATCGGAGAAGAGAATCCGCATTCCCACGTTTCGACTCAAAAAACTTTCGAGGACAAAGGAGTACTCTGTAAACAGGAGCGCCTGTACACAGGGACACGTGCTGCCCTTTTCGTCTCGGTTGCCCTTTTCCTAGTCCCAAGGATTCCCAAACAAAAGAAGATTCGTGACTTCTAGCCTGTTCTCCAAATATAAAGGATACTAATGAATGATATTTATCCATTGACCCTTGCAACTTCGTCGTACGTTGACCATTCCTTGTTTTCGAGGCCAAGTTAGCCCCGTGTGCAACCAGCCCTTACCTCGTGGGATCTCTGATCCGAAGTTGAATCGTAGATTTTGAAGCTTCTTGCGCAATGTACTGCACAGTACCATGCCTTTTTTATAGCTTGTGTCCCCTTTTTCATAGTCCGCGGGTACCGCTGTGAGTAAGTGATCTTTTCCGACGGCTCTCTAAGGCCTGAGGGAAACGATAGACAGGTCGGAAGACGACCGGAAAGTCAACTAATCCAGGAATTTAAAATTTTATTTTTTCGAATTTCAAAACTTTGTTTTTAAACATTTATGATGGCAAATATGATTTATCGGATCGTCCGCGATTCAATTTCGTGCACGTTTTATCCAAAGGTACCAATTATTCAAATATTTTGGAAGTTTTGAGTTGGCTTTGGGTACTTCCAGATGCACCACTATCCTCAGGTAGTTTTACTGTAGACGGCACCTCAATTGTCGCATGCCAAAGGAATACTTCTTGGAAATAGACGCGCCCAAATATTGTATTCCGCATTTATTCTAAACTGCGATCTTTCTCCTAATTTCCTCCATTTTTACTGTACTGTATCGCAATGGGCAGGCCTCCTGACGACGGGTTTCTCGTATTGGGAATGAGAAAAAAATCTTATCGAAGAAAGAAAAAGAAACCGACAAATCATGGCACGAGTTCATTTTTTGTGAATTCATTTTTAGGCCCAGTTCCGACGAAAATTCTTCGGATCTTCCCCAAGAGAGCTACTCAGCGCTTTCTCTCGTCGGGTGCCACCAGAAGTTTGAGATTCTCCTCTCTGGGAAAAATGTCTAAAGGAAAACGTGGAAGGACGAATGGCGGGAAAATGATCGGTTTCCTTCGATTCTGATTTTATAAGAACAAAGGAATAATTCCAGACTGCGTTTTTTAATGGAAAACTTTCTGCCTTCGATCGCCACCCGTAGTTTAACGCCATCCGGGATAATAAAATATCGGCTTTTGACGCATTTTTTTAATCGACTGACGTTTCGGCGCCCATTCCTCGGCGTCGATCGAAACGTAATTTAATCGTAAACGACCCTCTCGTTCTCGCCACGGCCGTTTTCATTCGCCCGTAAACAATATACGTCGGAAATTACATCCGGGCGTAGGCATTTGGCTAGAACGAATGCGATTCTACCTATCGCTAGCATTCTTTAATGGCGACGGGCGCAGTAATTGTAACATTTGTGCCGTTAAAACTTGTTATTAAACACTTTCAATTGCGTTGTTACTAGCAAAGTTCAATAAGTAACTAGTAGCTTTGACTGGTAAACCTCTCTTTTTCCGTACGTCTGAAGTCTCGATACGATCAAACCTCTTACGAATGGCGCGCTCGATCCGATTTAGGAAATCGTTAAAGAGTAACACCTCGACCCTCGATGGATTTTTGCGCGCGTTTTCCGAGACAGATTAGGTCTTTTAACATAGAGAAATCTTTGGACAGGTCACACTCCAGACGTCTTAGCGGCGGTGATAACCGTGCTGATGACCATCCTGATGGTAGCCGGGGTCAAGAAGTCCCTCTTGTTCAACAATGTGCTAAACGCCGTCAACCTGGCCGTCTGGGTCTTCATCATCGTGGCCGGACTCTTCTACGTCGACGGGAGGAACTGGTCGCAACACGGAGGATTCCTCCCTTACGGATGGTCCGGGGTGAGTCGCTTCTCGTCCTGTACAGTACGCAATCGTCCGTTCCGAAAGCGGAACGTCTCTTCGGGAATATTCCTCAACCTTTTTCCAAAATTTTGTCGCGCGTCGGAAAGAGTAAAATTCGGAGATCTTTCGGGAAGATCGACCGGGACCGAGCGTTAGATTTAATTACAGTTCGGGACAAAAGTGAATCGAAAGTTTAAAAGAGATTTTGGCGGTTCGAGAGACGAGTTAAGAGAATGATGGGGAGTGGAAAGAATAAAGAAGAGGGTGTGATAAAGAGCGGATTTAATAGTAGCCAGCGGCAGGCCACTTACCAACTCTCCGGCTAAGATAAGGCAGTTTGGGAGAGACGAAGACGGAAATAGAGAAGACGTTTCCTTTCGGCCGACGAGACGTCTACGCGTTCTGTTAAAAAAAAAAAAAAAAAAAAAAACTAGAAGAGAGATAAGACCGTTTGCCAGAAGAAAATGATTTTCGTTCCGAGAAATAAAAAGTCTTCCCGGATTTGGACGAAACTTAAATGAAATTCCGCCAAAGATAAGGACGTTCTTTGGAGACAATTGTCGCATTCGTTTTCTTCCTTCTCCTTAAGCGTCCGATTTCGATTTCTCGGTTTTTACGGGAAAACTGAAAAGTTTTCTAAAGGGCGTCACCAAAAAGCCCGGCGATTTGTATAGAACGATACGCGTTTGGAATTGTTACTTAAGTCAGTGTTTCCCAATTGAATTTGGCCGAACTCTATAAAATATTGCGAAACCCTTCGTAGAATACTTAAGTATAAAGTTAAAATAGAGAAAGGGAAAATATTTTAAAATGCTAAACCATTGTATTATTTATTGTACTGTACGTATCAATAAGATAAAACTAAAAAAAAAATAAATAAAATCGCATAAAATAATATAATTAACGCCAAATAATATAAAATAAATCGATAAATGACAATTCTTCGTGTCAGATTCTTAACATTTTATATAATGCACGAAAGCCGAATTTGCAGATCGAAAGAATCTTTTAGCCATTTCTGTATTCAATTTTTGTCGCTGAATAATTGGAAAATCCATTTACGAGTAATTATGGGTTAGTTAGTTAAGGACAATAAAATTCCGATTACCCTTGCTCATATATCCAAATATAGTTTAAGTGTCTCCAGAATGCAATTAAAGAAATTTTAAATAAATTTTCTCTTTAGTCTGATGCCCGTCGAGATTTCGTAACGTTCCTCAGGAAATCCCACTTACACTAATTTTCAATCGGGGAATCGTTTTTGTCATTTGGCTTATCTATTGTAAAGTGCGCGTGAATAAATAAATAAAGCCAAAAAATAAGCTGCTTCTTAAGATCATTAGCAAAGATTGATTAACTAATATCGATATAAATATGTTAGTTCTTTAACCGAAAGTTTGAATCGTCAGATTAAATAAGCGTGATATAAAGTGAGTGTAGAGCTCTCAGAAGAGCACATAACTTAAGCATTGTCTACAAAGCCATACCTAAAAGTTATTGCGAGCCGACAAATTGTAGTATTTAGTTAAATAAAAGTAATAAGCATTAATATGATAACAAAATATGGTAATTTTCTCCTAGGACGGTGGGCCCTAAATTTCATTTCTCGGGACTGCTCCACGGAACATCACTGGGGAAACACTGATTTAAGCAGATGGTTCTTTTCACGGAAAAGACCGCCGATACCTTTTATCGATTTTGTAAAAAAATTTTAATTCCTCCCGTGGAAAATGGCGTCGGAGCCAGAATTTGTATTCGACGATAGTCCTATAATCGATTCGAATTTGAATCGAGACGCGTAAGCCGGAGGAACGGCCAAAACTTTCCTCCCGTCCGAGGGGGACGGAAGGACGGTGGGTGGCATCGGTAAGAAGGAAGATGTTTTTCAGGTTCTGGCCGGAGCCGCCACCTGTTTCTACGCCTTCATCGGGTTCGACATCATCGCCACGACGGGAGAGGAGGCCGAGAATCCCAAGTGGTCCATTCCGACGGCCATCATCCTCAGCCTGATTATAGTGCTCACAGCCTACATCAGTTCCAGTTTGATGGTACGAGTCTCCTTTTCGTTGAGGCCCGCCTCGGCCCGCCCGGCTTAAACTCCGTTCTTCGCAGATAACTCTGGTGCTGCCTTACGACCAAATCGACGCCGAGTCGGCTCTGGTCCAGATGTTCGACGCCAGAGGAGCCACCAAGTCCAAGTACGTCGTGGCGGTGGGTGCGCTGGCCGGTCTGGTGGTCAGCATGTTCGGCTCCATGTTCCCTATGCCCAGAGTCGTCTACGCCATGGCTAAGGACGGACTCATCTTCAGGTAAATTATCCTTCCTGTTATATTCACGTTTGACTTTATATATCTCGTTTAGCGCCACAAACACCACTTAATTCATAAACAATGCTTAAATTTCGGTGTCAAATTTCCGAATAACTGCGTAGGTAAACGAAATTGCTATTGGGTCGAGAGCCTTCCCACATTGTGGTTAAACTGAAAATGGTGCGTAAAAAGGCCAAAGAGAAGGAACTTCTAAACAATAATAATATGGAGACCGAGAAGAGATAATAATTAAGGACGCACTTGTCGATACGAATACTAATAACGCTACACTGTCCTCGATGTACAGTACAGTACAGTACCGTCGTTAAACGATTGGTATTTTCCGTGCATTGCATCAAAGGTGTTTTCGGCTGATATTTCGGAATTGTTCCTTAGTATGTATCTTGGTTCCTAGTATACGTATTTCTCCGCGTATGTAGAAAAATTCCGAGAGATAGGGAATAATTAAGCCTTTGAATCTGCGAGAAACTTCGGAAAGCACACTTCTTTCGCAAAATTTTTGCCTCTGTAGAGCTTAAAGTCTGCTCTATAGAAATAAGTTTGTTCAATAAAAGCAGATTATGTTGGTTTGACATCATACCAACAAGATTAACCTTAAATAGCCAGCATCGAATGTGAATAGCTTCATATGGAAGAAGAAGTAAAAGTCCATCGAAACGAAGTATCGGGTATGCAGCAAAGCGAGTGTAGACACGTGAAACTACTGTCAAAACACTTCTGCAACAGCTCGAGCACAGTTAAGATCGTTTAACGCTTATTAAGCACTCTCTAATACTGCTCTTGTAAATTTCAAGGTTCCAACGTCGAGAAGAAGATAACATATATTGCCTGCCTATCTCGTCTGTCGTCTCATCCGCCATCATTGCAACCTTTTTATTTTTTAAGACTACTTTCTAAATTTTGCTATGCAAATATTCTGTGTGTTAATATCAGAGAGATTCTCCCTTAACACATTATTATTCATCCAAGCCTCGAAAGCTGAACGGTTTGACTTTTCCAGCGGATTGTTGTCAGAAACTGCCACCTTTCACAGTCAAGATCATAAATGGAGTTTGCTTGAAAAATCCGCGTGGGCAAAGTCGCGGGTAACAGCTAGTAAAGATATAAATGAGTAAATGTAAGTTAAATAATACATTCTTGCTTGTTTTGCAACTTTGACATCTTCGAACATCTGGCGCTTAAGCGCCATTCCACGTCGTGGCCTTGCTTGCTAGGTCTATATACTTTTTATAATACCGTACCAAGCCACTCGTTTAATAAGGAAATTACATAACACAATATCTGCGAGACTCTTCATTCCCTCTTGAGAAAATTGCTTCCCTCCATCATTTAAACTCGTCTTCAGTGACAGAACGAACAGTGATGCAAATTGCTCTCTATCGACACAAATACAATCCTACAGAACAACGTTTCTTTAATCACTGAGAACGACCCAGCACAATTCCTTTTTTTTATCCAGGAATAGTATTTTAGAAAAATGGGAAATTTTGATTAAAATGTGATTGGTTTATGTAATTCCAGAGAAAAATATAGAAAATGAAAATTTTTGAATAGAAGGGGACGTTATTAGTTATTATTATAAAAACCAACGACCTTCAAATTTTTACTCTGTAATGCGCCTGCCGAAATTGTAGGAGAATCGAAATGGCTCTATCATTGTGATTTTCTTTCTATATTTTCCATTTCATAAAATTTTCGCGAGTCGCGAAATTGTAGCATTCTAACAATTTCTTTAGAAATGACTAAAGAAATTGAAGTATAATTTACCCCCTTATAACAAATATATGTTTAGACGTAACGACTATCGTTTTCTCGATCACACGTCATAGTTATTATAATAGGCCGTGGTAAGAATCCATTACGGAACATATTCCGGTTTAAAGATGACAAAAGCAAAACACGAATCACCTACAACCAGAGGCGTTTTTATGCGTAGGCAAAGTAGGCATGTGCCTGAAGCGGAAAATGTTTACAATTGACATTACAATTACATGATCGAAAAATGACTTATACATTAAACATTAAATTATATTTACATATAATAAACAAAATTATATACAAAATCTAAACTCAGTAATATAATTAGTAGTGGCATACATTGGTTTATTATGAAAATATTGGCTACAATATAAAAAAAGTAATAGCGCTATTACACGTTTGTAGTGCGCAAATTTAGCGACAATGTGAATGCAATTAATATAAATGTTTATTATGAGTGATGAAAAGAAAAGACTCACTGGTAACCAGTATTTACTATCTATACCTCCTTCTATAAAAGAAGAAGGTAAAATTTTATCTGTTTACAGGAGAAAAACTGCTAAAAATGCCTGTGGTTACAGCATACTGTACAGTACAGTACAAACGTAACAACCGGAAATTTAGGTGTGTGGTGGATTTCACAGTTAACTAAAGAATCGATTGGTTTTAAATGTCTCACGCTAGTAGACTAGCACCTAACCCAATACTCTATAAATTTTGCAGTGTAGCTATTCTTGTCTTATTCTTTCGAAATGACAGAGGCAAAACGTTCTTTCAAATATAGACCACAGGTTTATTCGCCTAACACTCGACGAAAACACATTATACCGCTATAATAATGATATTCGAAGCGAATAGAGAGGCACGACTGCAAAATCTCCGGGGTTGTCTCCGATCGGAAGATACAAATCGATATATTGTCTGCGTAGAATGTTGACAACCACTGGATGTAGGAGATGAACCATTCACGGATTCCTCCATTGATAACTTTCTTTAACGGGGTAAGGACGAAAATAAGTTATCCGGGTGGAAAATGACATTCAGAAACCACACTAATATGTCTACGCAGACACGTAGAAGGACCGGTTACTGTTTCGTCTCAGATCCAATCGCTTTTTTAATANAATTCCAATAAATTGCGATAATTTTTTACAGAAAAATTTTATATGATTTTTCTAGTTAATGCCTAAACACGAAATAGGATTAGTAATATTGATTTTCTCACCACTCATGTATCAATATTTTGTTTCGAGTTTCAATTTGTAAATATTATACCGTGTGTTTTGTCTAAATTAACAGTAAAATTCGAACCGCTTAGTTTGGATTATTGAGCGGATAGAAGAGTCTTCCTTTATACTTCCTTCGTCTTCGTTTCTTAAACGAAGAACCAAAAAGGACGTCGGAACTTTCCTCTCGGTAGAGGAAGTTGGTTTCGACCACGAATAACCAGGCATTTCTCGCTTCGAGTGATCGTTGGCCTTCGTCGTTTCCGTTTCCGGAATTCGATTCCGCAATCGACGGACGAATCAACGGCTCCCTTCCGTGGACGGTGCGCCGGCCGTTGCCGTTCTACTTTCGTTTCTCTGTCGAGATTTATTGTCCGTGTAGAGAAACGGCGATCTCTTCCGAAAGAAAACCGGAAAGGTTCTTTCCGACCGGTACCGAAGTTATCGGAAAGCGAGTGAATTGTTCCAAGGAAGGCGCGGAATCTTCGAAGGAGAATACGGGAAATGAGGAACGATGTTTCGGGAAAATACAAGTAAAATATAAAAACAATAGGCGCCTTTATCGCTAGAGAAAATATTAACGAGAAAATTGTAAGGCGACATCTTAAAAAAACGATTCGAATCGAGCATGGGGAGACGTGAGAAAAAACGTCTTTGGTCCCGGTTACAGCGTTTTAACTCTACTCTTGTCTTTCAGAATTACGATTGTCGAACGGAGGACACGCCGTTCTTACCGAAAAATGAACAACCGCAATTACAGTTTTATTTTACGAATGGCTATTATTAATTATTATACAAACTAACTGGGACTATGGCAAAGAATCTTTCGGGATGCCCGAAATAGAAGATACACAAAACAAGGAAGGAATAAAGTAAACTGGGAACAGTTAATAGACGAGTCGAGTTCCTTTCCTCTCGATGGATTTTAAAAAAATCAGCTCTTCTCGGAATGTTTTTGCCTCCTTTCAAAAAACGAGGAGAAGGTCGATCGAATTAGCGGCTTTAAATGTCGCAAATATTCTCGTTTATTTAACGTTTTCTTTTCTTAAACGACGTTTCTAATTATAAATTTAATTTCCTATTTAAATTTCCATTTTAATAATAAAGTTATTTTAGAATCTTCAGTTAAATCGATGAGGAAAATAACAATCACCAAATTCCACCCGTAGTTTAACTAAACATCGTCTTCGACTCCGGAACTCGTCCGAAAACAACCGAAACACCTTTAAACAAGAGTCTGATTGTTGCAAAAGAAAGAAATAAATAAAAGGAATGGGTCGACGTCCAATTGTCTCGGCCTTTCAGTAAAATCAATTCCTCCAAACGACGATTGGCAATCTTTTAATAATTCAAAGCAGTGTTTCGAATCGACAACGCGATTCCTTCGTCCCATCCTTTCTAATACAGTCTCTTATTCAGTCACGTTCCGAAAAAAAATCATAAGTCGAAAATAAAGATAAATGAATAAAAACTGAGGCTATTTGCAAGGTTATAGTATTGTACGTAACGCGAGTTTGGTCTATCGTCGATTGCGCTAGCCCAAACCCAAGAACGATGGCCATAACTGCCACGCATCGATATCTAAGTTTCTATCGAGACACAGAGGGCAGTTTTGCAGACTTAATGGGTATACTGTAGAACGTAAGAAGGTATAAGACGGTATATATAAATAAAAGTCTTAAAAAAGATCGTTAAGGCATCAATAGAGCGGCTCGAATTCAAATCCTAACACCATTTTCTCATGCTTCCGCTTCACTCGCATCGGCCATGGTACTGTACGGTACATGCGAAATATCGAAAAGCATCTGTATTTTGCTGATGCATTTGATAACTTCTCGGGACTAAATACGACGCCTTCCGAAAATCCAATTTAAGTGAGAGAACAGGCCTGTTTATCCCCTTCCGTCCGTTTTCTGGAAACTTAGACAGGCTCTGGAATAGAATAGCCTTACTTTCCTTTCGCCCGCTATCTCTTCTCCCGGGTGAACCCCTCGTCCTTGGCCGCCAGTCCCTGTGGACTGGGGAAAGCCATTGGAAAAAGGGACGATTTTCTTACAGGGAATGTTGGTTCGTTCGTTGGCGCCGAAACACGGGGACCGCCGAGAGGCGCGCCGGAACATTCTCCGCGGCACGGGCTCCGGCGTCGGCGCGGGAGCATGCGCGAATAGCGGAGAGCGTCCGGAGTCGGCCGACTGCGGACGTAGAAGAGGAAGTCGGATCTTTCCGCTCGACGCTTTCGCCCATTACCGAGACCACCGGGCGCATGGCCCTCTCTCGCCTCCCTTTCTGAAGGTAAGAGCTTTCCTCTTCTCTTCCGCCGGCGGCTCTCGGCGCTTCGGGCGCGCCCACCCCGCCTGGTACTCGAGCGCTAAAGGGTTTTCGGAAGACGGCTCGGGGACACGAAAATGCGAGGAAAGGGTCGGGGATATCTCCTAACCTTTTTGCCGTCGAATCGGAGGCAAAAATCGATATCGGGCGTTCGACGCGGCCGACAGGAGAGCGGGGAGAGAGAGATCCACAGACGGATGCCTTCCAACGGGTTTTCCCCGCCGACGCTTCTTTTCCGCGGAATTCCGGTCGATAAAGAGAAGCGATTTTCCGGAGTTTACCCCTGGATTCCACCGGAAACCGACCGTCGGATCGTTCTCTTCGGAGTCTCCCGTCTTTTCCGCCGATTCTCTCGGAAAGGAAAGGGACGGAAAATCGCCGCATTGACCGCATACGACGTCAGAACGTTTCGCCTACCGTTCTTTTGTTCGGCCCGCTTTTTTCTTCGCCGAAACCGTTGTTCCGACCCCAATAGGAGTTTAGATTCGCTCCCCTTCGAATCACTACCGGAAACGAAACGGGACGAGTCTAGTTTCCGGTCCGTAGTCGCTTCCGGTTCCGATCGAGAGTGGCCGAGATAAGGCCTCTACTACGAAGAATCGATCGGAACCGGAAGTGTACGCTTCGACCGGGGATGGCATCGATGATAAAATATTCTTTGGTCCTTAAAAGGTGCTCGATTAAGGGCTAAGAAATCCGAGGAGAAGGGGCGGAAAGGAGAAACCGCAATTTCGGCCGAAGGGTCGTTTAATGTGTAATTGAACATTTAAGCCACAACCTTCGTACTCCAAGTTTCGAAAAAGTCCGAACCCGACGGACGACGAACAAGGAAAGTCGCCAGACAAAACTTTTTTTGCACGTTTTTAAAGCAAATTCCCCTCTCGCGGGATAGAAAAACTCGCAGCGAATTTGAGAAACGACCGACGAGGGGGAAATCTGCAGAATATTGCCTTTCCGTTTCCGTTTTCCGTTTCTTCCGTAAACTTTGAGAGGGAATTGGATTAAAGGAAAGAGTGTCGTAGGGGACGTCGGATAGAAAGACGCAGTTCCTTCCAAATCGATCCGCGCTAGTTTGTCTATTTCCTACGAAACCGGAAAAATCCTCGTCCCGCTTCTGAAAAACCGGAAATCGTTCCGTTTGGTGGGAGGAATGAAAGTCCGATCTCTCTCCTTCCTTATTAATCGTCGACTTTCGGAGTTTATTCCACCCCTTTCGAGCACGGCGGTATTCGGAAGGAAGTGGAAGACTGAGAAAATTCCACAAAAATCGGAAGGGTTAGTAGGATTTTCAGCGCGCGCCACCGATCTCGGGAAGAATCGATCGGGAACAGTACGAGGAGGAAATCGATGGGAGAAGGAGGAATGGTCGAAAGTGGGGAGGGCTAACGAGATTTTCCGGTGAATAAAAGGCAAGGAGAAACCGTCTCGGGGTTTTTAAGGAGCGGAAGACGACGTCTCCTCCGACGCCAAACTTGGAATGAAGAAGGGTGGCGAGCTCGTTCTCTCGTTTTCTGTTAAATCGTAACGTTTAACCGAAAGACTTACAATTTAAAGAAGGAAAGGATAGATGTAAGAGGGACGAAATTAAATAAAAAGACACTTTTAATAAATCTAAAAATGGCGTTAACTTCTTACGGACGAAGTTTTGCACGCGATTATGACGTCAATAAGCTTTCGTGTTTCGACGCAACCCGGCGAGTGATCGCGTCCGAAATCGCACGCGAGGGGAAGAATGACAAAATAACGACCTGTGTAGTTTCTTTCCCGGGAACTAAAGATTTCTAATTCCTCGACCTCGGTAATTTTTTGCTGCCGGAACGAGCGGGATACCTCCTTACTTTCTCTTAGCGCTTAATTTTCCAGTCGCAAAAGACTAACAAGAAAAGTGTGGTAAGGAATTCTTCCCTACGGGAAGACTGATTCGGTCACAACTCTAACCGTTTCTTTTTGTTTGTTTTTTACAGCCCGAAAGTCGAAAGAATGTTTGTAGACGGGGATAGGAATCTCCGGCAGAAATTGCTGAATTTAGTGGGAAAATTATTGAGGACCAAAGACCCGGGATCGGCCGCTGACTCGGACCCCGACGCCAGAACCCAACTCAAGGTGGGAGGAGAATCTGAGTATTTCCGGGACGGCCCCCTCCCCATCCGGGACTGACGGTCTTGGGTTCTTTACAGAAATGTCTGACGACGTTGGACCTGACTTCGCTGGGAGTGGGCAGCTGCGTGGGTACCGGAATGTACCTTGTGGCGGGAATGGTGGCCAGAAACATTGCCGGACCGGGAGTGGTCATGTCGTTCCTGGTGGCCGCCGTCGCCTCCCTCTTCTCGGGTAACTTATTTCTCCTTCCATCCTTCGAACCTCTTCCGAATTATCTGAGACGGGCGTTCGGGAAGGGATCCTTCTGTTCTGTCAAAGGTTTATTCTAGTCGAGACGATGTGATGGAGGGTTTTAGGAACGGGCGGTTGACAGAGGAATCGTGAGAGAAGAAAACGGGTCAGACCTCGTTTCTCTCGGTCGAAGGAGAGAATTAGGGAAATTAGACGAGCGACGTTGAAAGATAATAAATTTGGGGGGGCGAGAAAGGAAAGAAAATTTATTTCTGCTCTTTAATTAATTCTGCACTAAATTAAATTCTCCTTTTTTTCTTTTAATTTCTCAGTTAAAAAAAAGAAATTTAAAAAATTAGAAATTTTCTTTTCATTAAAATCGATTGCGAAAACAGTCGAAGGACGATTACTTTCCAACCAGGGAACCCGTCAATGTTTAGAAGTCGATCTCAAATTTCTTAAAACGGAGATGGTCCATTTCCTTCGTCCGCTCGCGAGAAATACCGACGTCGTGGCGATGATCCGATTATCGAAAACGTAATTTCCGGTAGAACTTTCATCCCTCGGCGACGACGTAAACTTAAGTCGTTTCGATGTTCGCGTCTTTAGCCCGGGCGGGCGAAGCTTTAACCTCTATTTGGGGGCGCAGGTGTGTGCTACGCGGAGTTCGGAGTTCGAGTGCCTCGCACCACGGGTTCGGCCTACATGTACAGTTACGTCACAGTGGGAGAGTTCATCGCCTTCGTCATCGGATGGAACATGATACTGGAATACCTGATCGGAACGGCGGCGGGAGCCTGCGCCATCAGCGCCTGCATCGACTCTATGGTGGACGGAGCCATAGGCAAGACCATTAGAGACTCTCTGGGAACTTTCATCGGTAAGTCTTTACAATTTCCTTTCTCTCTCTGACTTTATCGGGCGGGCGGGATGACGGAAGTTGCGCTCCATCTTCCGCTCCCACTGGCGTTCCGGCCGTTTTCTCGTTTTTTTTCTTTATAAGCAAAAAAAAGCGTGCGAAATTAAGAAAATCGACAGTCACACTCGGGAATCAAAAACAGAAAAATTCCGGTTGTCATTATAAACGGGTGGAAAACGCAGAATGTTTTCCGACCAACGTCGATGATGAAATTCATGAAACTTAATATCTTAGAACTAAAGACCAACTATACAGAACTAAAAACACGCCAGGAGATTGTGGAAGCTGCTCGATGCGGAGTCTAATTAATTGTGTAGAAAAGAGTCGAAGACGGAGGAACAAACTTTTGAAAAACCGAAGAGTTGAGGGAGGGAACAATTATTCCTATCAACAAATTTGTGGCGAGAAAGAAATTAAGGAACGGGTACATCGGAGAAGAGAATCCGCATTCCCACGTTTCGACTCAAAAAACTTTCGAGGACAAAGGAGTACTCTGTAAACAGGAGCGCCTGTACACAGGGACACGTGCTGCCCTTTTCGTCTCGGTTGCCCTTTTCCTAGTCCCAAGGATTCCCAAACAAAAGAAGATTCGTGACTTCTAGCCTGTTCTCCAAATATAAAGGATACTAATGAATGATATTTATCCATTGACCCTTGCAACTTCGTCGTACGTTGACCATTCCTTGTTTTCGAGGCCAAGTTAGCCCCGTGTGCAACCAGCCCTTACCTCGTGGGATCTCTGATCCGAAGTTGAATCGTAGATTTTGAAGCTTCTTGCGCAATGTACTGCACAGTACCATGCCTTTTTTATAGCTTGTGTCCCCTTTTTCATAGTCCGCGGGTACCGCTGTGAGTAAGTGATCTTTTCCGACGGCTCTCTAAGGCCTGAGGGAAACGATAGACAGGTCGGAAGACGACCGGAAAGTCAACTAATCCAGGAATTTAAAATTTTATTTTTTCGAATTTCAAAACTTTGTTTTTAAACATTTATGATGGCAAATATGATTTATCGGATCGTCCGCGATTCAATTTCGTGCACGTTTTATCCAAAGGTACCAATTATTCAAATATTTTGGAAGTTTTGAGTTGGCTTTGGGTACTTCCAGATGCACCACTATCTGGAGACGGCACCTCAATTGTCGCATGCCAAAGGAATACTTCTTGGAAATAGACGCGCCCAAATATTGTATTCCGCATTTATTCTAAACTGCGATCTTTCTCCTAATTTCCTCCATTTTTACTGTACTGTATCGCAATGGGCAGGCCTCCTGACGACGGGTTTCTCGTATTGGGAATGAGAAAAAAATCTTATCGAAGAAAGAAAAAGAAACCGACAAATCATGGCACGAGTTCATTTTTTGTGAATTCATTTTTAGGCCCAGTTCCGACGAAAATTCTTCGGATCTTCCCCAAGAGAGCTACTCAGCGCTTTCTCTCGTCGGGTGCCACCAGAAGTCTGAGATTCTCCTCTCTGGGAAAAATGTCTAAAGGAAAACGTGGAAGGACGAATGGCGGGAAAATGATCGGTTTCCTTCGATTCTGATTTTATAAGAACAAAGGAATAATTCCAGACTGCGTTTTTTAATGGAAAACTTTCTGCCTTCGATCGCCACCCGTAGTTTAACGCCATCCGGGATAATAAAATATCGGCTTTTGACGCATTTTTTTAATCGACTGACGTTTCGGCGCCCATTCCTCGGCGTCGATCGAAACGTAATTTAATCGTAAACGACCCTCTCGTTCTCGCCACGGCCGTTTTCATTCGCCCGTAAACAATATACGTCGGAAATTACATCCGGGCGTAGGCATTTGGCTAGAACGAATGCGATTCTACCTATCGCTAGCATTCTTTAATGGCGACGGGCGCAGTAATTGTAACATTTGTGCCGTTAAAACTTGTTATTAAACACTTTCAATTGCGTTGTTACTAGCAAAGTTCAATAAGTAACTAGTAGCTTTGACTGGTAAACCTCTCTTTTTCCGTACGTCTGAAGTCTCGATACGATCAAACCTCTTACGAATGGCGCGCTCGATCCGATTTAGGAAATCGTTAAAGAGTAACACCTCGACCCTCGATGGATTTTTGCGCGCGTTTTCCGAGACAGATTAGGTCTTTTAACATAGAGAAATCTTTGGACAGGTCACACTCCAGACGTCTTAGCGGCGGTGATAACCGTGCTGATGACCATCCTGATGGTAGCCGGGGTCAAGAAGTCCCTCTTGTTCAACAATGTGCTAAACGCCGTCAACCTGGCCGTCTGGGTCTTCATCATCGTGGCCGGACTCTTCTACGTCGACGGGAGGAACTGGTCGCAACACGGAGGATTCCTCCCTTACGGATGGTCCGGGGTGAGTCGCTTCTCGTCCTGTACAGTACGCAATCGTCCGTTCCGAAAGCGGAACGTCTCTTCGGGAATATTCCTCAACCTTTTTCCAAAATTTTGTCGCGCGTCGGAAAGAGTAAAATTCGGAGATCTTTCGGGAAGATCGACCGGGACCGAGCGTTAGATTTAATTACAGTTCGGGACAAAAGTGAATCGAAAGTTTAAAAGAGATTTTGGCGGTTCGAGAGACGAGTTAAGAGAATGATGGGGAGTGGAAAGAATAAAGAAGAGGGTGTGATAAAGAGCGGATTTAATAGTAGCCAGCGGCAGGCCACTTACCAACTCTCCGGCTAAGATAAGGCAGTTTGGGAGAGACGAAGACGGAAATAGAGAAGACGTTTCCTTTCGGCCGACGAGACGTCTACGCGTTCTGTTAAAAAAAAAAAAAAAAAAAAAAAACTAGAAGAGAGATAAGACCGTTTGCCAGAAGAAAATGATTTTCGTTCCGAGAAATAAAAAGTCTTCCCGGATTTGGACGAAACTTAAATGAAATTCCGCCAAAGATAAGGACGTTCTTTGGAGACAATTGTCGCATTCGTTTTCTTCCTTCTCCTTAAGCGTCCGATTTCGATTTCTCGGTTTTTACGGGAAAACTGAAAAGTTTTCTAAAGGGCGTCACCAAAAAGCCCGGCGATTTGTATAGAACGATACGCGTTTGGAATTGTTACTTAAGTCAGTGTTTCCCAATTGAATTTGGCCGAACTCTATAAAATATTGCGAAACCCTTCGTAGAATACTTAAGTATAAAGTTAAAATAGAGAAAGGGAAAATATTTTAAAATGCTAAACCATTGTATTATTTATTGTACTGTACGTATCAATAAGATAAAACTAAAAAAAAAATAAATAAAATCGCATAAAATAATATAATTAACGCCAAATAATATAAAATAAATCGATAAATGACAATTCTTCGTGTCAGATTCTTAACATTTTATATAATGCACGAAAGCCGAATTTGCAGATCGAAAGAATCTTTTAGCCATTTCTGTATTCAATTTTTGTCGCTGAATAATTGGAAAATCCATTTACGAGTAATTATGGGTTAGTTAGTTAAGGACAATAAAATTCCGATTACCCTTGCTCATATATCCAAATATAGTTTAAGTGTCTCCAGAATGCAATTAAAGAAATTTTAAATAAATTTTCTCTTTAGTCTGATGCCCGTCGAGATTTCGTAACGTTCCTCAGGAAATCCCACTTACACTAATTTTCAATCGGGGAATCGTTTTTGTCATTTGGCTTATCTATTGTAAAGTGCGCGTGAATAAATAAATAAAGCCAAAAAATAAGCTGCTTCTTAAGATCATTAGCAAAGATTGATTAACTAATATCGATATAAATATGTTAGTTCTTTAACCGAAAGTTTGAATCGTCAGATTAAATAAGCGTGATATAAAGTGAGTGTAGAGCTCTCAGAAGAGCACATAACTTAAGCATTGTCTACAAAGCCATACCTAAAAGTTATTGCGAGCCGACAAATTGTAGTATTTAGTTAAATAAAAGTAATAAGCATTAATATGATAACAAAATATGGTAATTTTCTCCTAGGACGGTGGGCCCTAAATTTCATTTCTCGGGACTGCTCCACGGAACATCACTGGGGAAACACTGATTTAAGCAGATGGTTCTTTTCACGGAAAAGACCGCCGATACCTTTTATCGATTTTGTAAAAAAATTTTAATTCCTCCCGTGGAAAATGGCGTCGGAGCCAGAATTTGTATTCGACGATAGTCCTATAATCGATTCGAATTTGAATCGAGACGCGTAAGCCGGAGGAACGGCCAAAACTTTCCTCCCGTCCGAGGGGGACGGAAGGACGGTGGGTGGCATCGGTAAGAAGGAAGATGTTTTTCAGGTTCTGGCCGGAGCCGCCACCTGTTTCTACGCCTTCATCGGGTTCGACATCATCGCCACGACGGGAGAGGAGGCCGAGAATCCCAAGTGGTCCATTCCGACGGCCATCATCCTCAGCCTGATTATAGTGCTCACAGCCTACATCAGTTCCAGTTTGATGGTACGAGTCTCCTTTTCGTTGAGGCCCGCCTCGGCCCGCCCGGCTTAAACTCCGTTCTTCGCAGATAACTCTGGTGCTGCCTTACGACCAAATCGACGCCGAGTCGGCTCTGGTCCAGATGTTCGACGCCAGAGGAGCCACCAAGTCCAAGTACGTCGTGGCGGTGGGTGCGCTGGCCGGTCTGGTGGTCAGCATGTTCGGCTCCATGTTCCCTATGCCCAGAGTCGTCTACGCCATGGCTAAGGACGGACTCATCTTCAGGTAAATTATCCTTCCTGTTATATTCACGTTTGACTTTATATATCTCGTTTAGCGCCACAAACACCACTTAATTCATAAACAATGCTTAAATTTCGGTGTCAAATTTCCGAATAACTGCGTAGGTAAACGAAATTGCTATTGGGTCGAGAGCCTTCCCACATTGTGGTTAAACTGAAAATGGTGCGTAAAAAGGCCAAAGAGAAGGAACTTCTAAACAATAATAATATGGAGACCGAGAAGAGATAATAATTAAGGACGCACTTGTCGATACGAATACTAATAACGCTACACTGTCCTCGATGTACAGTACAGTACAGTACCGTCGTTAAACGATTGGTATTTTCCGTGCATTGCATCAAAGGTGTTTTCGGCTGATATTTCGGAATTGTTCCTTAGTATGTATCTTGGTTCCTAGTATACGTATTTCTCCGCGTATGTAGAAAAATTCCGAGAGATAGGGAATAATTAAGCCTTTGAATCTGCGAGAAACTTCGGAAAGCACACTTCTTTCGCAAAATTTTTGCCTCTGTAGAGCTTAAAGTCTGCTCTGTAGAAATAAGTTTGTTCAATAAAAGCAGATTATGTTGGTTTGACATCATACCAACAAGATTAACCTTAAATAGCCAGCATCGAATGTGAATAGCTTCATATGGAAGAAGAAGTAAAAGTCCATCGAAACGAAGTATCGGGTATGCAGCAAAGCGAGTGTAGACACGTGAAACTACTGTCAAAACACTTCTGCAACAGCTCGAGCACAGTTAAGATCGTTTAACGCTTATTAAGCACTCTCTAATACTGCTCTTGTAAATTTCAAGGTTCCAACGTCGAGAAGAAGATAACATATATTGCCTGCCTATCTCGTCTGTCGTCTCATCCGCCATCATTGCAACCTTTTTATTTTTTAAGACTACTTTCTAAATTTTGCTATGCAAATATTCTGTGTGTTAATATCAGAGAGATTCTCCCTTAACACATTATTATTCATCCAAGCCTCGAAAGCTGAACGGTTTGACTTTTCCAGCGGATTGTTGTCAGAAACTGCCACCTTTCACAGTCAAGATCATAAATGGAGTTTGCTTGAAAAATCCGCGTGGGCAAAGTCGCGGGTAACAGCTAGTAAAGATATAAATGAGTAAATGTAAGTTAAATAATACATTCTTGCTTGTTTTGCAACTTTGACATCTTCGAACATCTGGCGCTTAAGCGCCATTCCACGTCGTGGCCTTGCTTGCTAGGTCTATATACTTTTTATAATACCGTACCAAGCCACTCGTTTAATAAGGAAATTACATAACACAATATCTGCGAGACTCTTCATTCCCTCTTGAGAAAATTGCTTCCCTCCATCATTTAAACTCGTCTTCAGTGACAGAACGAACAGTGATGCAAATTGCTCTCTATCGACACAAATACAATCCTACAGAACAACGTTTCTTTAATCACTGAGAACGACCCAGCACAATTCCTTTTTTTTATCCAGGAATAGTATTTTAGAAAAATGGGAAATTTTGATTAAAATGTGATTGGTTTATGTAATTCCAGAGAAAAATATAGAAAATGAAAATTTTTGAATAGAAGGGGACGTTATTAGTTATTATTATAAAAACCAACGACCTTCAAATTTTTACTCTGTAATGCGCCTGCCGAAATTGTAGGAGAATCGAAATGGCTCTATCATTGTGATTTTCTTTCTATATTTTCCATTTCATAAAATTTTCGCGAGTCGCGAAATTGTAGCATTCTAACAATTTCTTTAGAAATGACTAAAGAAATTGAAGTATAATTTACCCCCTTATAACAAATATATGTTTAGACGTAACGACTATCGTTTTCTCGATCACACGTCATAGTTATTATAATAGGCCGTGGTAAGAATCCATTACGGAACATATTCCGGTTTAAAGATGACAAAAGCAAAACACGAATCACCTACAACCAGAGGCGTTTTTATGCGTAGGCAAAGTAGGCATGTGCCTGAGGCGGAAAATGTTTACAATTGACATTACAATTACATGATCGAAAAATGACTTATACATTAAACATTAAATTATATTTACATATAATAAACAAAATTATATACAAAATCTAAACTCAGTAATATAATTAGTAGTGGCATACATTGGTTTATTATGAAAATATTGGCTACAATAAAAAAAAGTAATAGCGCTATTACACATTTGTAGTGCGCAAATTTAGCGACAATGTGAATGCAATTAATATAAATGTTTATTATGAGTGATGAAAAGAAAAGACTCACTGGTAACCAGTATTTACTATCTATACCTCCTTCTATAAAAGAAGAAGGTAAAATTTTATCTGTTTACAGGAGAAAAACTGCTAAAAATGCCTGTGGTTACAGCATACTGTACAGTACAGTACAAACGTAACAACCGGAAATTTAGGTGTGTGGTGGATTTCACAGTTAACTAAAGAATCGATTGGTTTTAAATGTCTCACGCTAGTAGACTAGCACCTAACCCAATACTCTAAAAATTTTGCAGTGTAGCTATTCTTGTCTTATTCTTTCGAAATGACAGAGGCAAAACGTTCTTTCAAATATAGACCACAGGTTTATTCGCCTAACACTCGACGAAAACACATTATACCGCTATAATAATGATATTCGAAGCGAATAGAGAGGCACGACTGCAAAATCTCCGGGGTTGTCTCCGATCGGAAGATACAAATCGATATATTGTCTGCGTAGAATGTTGACAACCACTGGATGTAGGAGATGAACCATTCACGGATTCCTCCATTGATAACTTTCTTTAACGGGGTAAGGACGAAAATAAGTTATCCGGGTGGAAAATGACATTCAGAAACCACACTAATATGTCTACGCAGACACGTAGAAGGACCGGTTACTGTTTCGTCTCAGATCCAATCGCTTTTTTAATACGGATCAAAACTTGGTTACGAACTAGAAGAGTATTAAATCGTTAATGCTATAAAAAAGGTCTTGGTATAGGTAAACGATGGCAAATTGTGCGCTTCAATGAGAAGGATGTAAAATACCAAATCCAAGCAATAGAAACGTTTTTATAAGAGATATGGGATTGAAATATTCGTCATTCGAAATAAGTCTATAGATTTACTTGTTCAAAATATTAGTTTCTGTCGATAGATGGCTTCAAGAGCTTTCGGACTGTCTTCGGGCGATGCAATGTTTAATCGCATTCTCCTTCTGATTAGTTTGGTACCTCGATTCCATTCGATTAACATAGTGGAAGACTCCTTCGTAGTAAACTATTTGATTTCTTCGTCCAGCATCGTCCGGTACTCTTCCTCGCCTTATTCTATCCTACTACGCATTCCACCTTCGCCCGCGATTTGCTGTAGCCTACATAATAACTGACGCCGAGCACTGTCGGTAACAAAGGAAAAGAATTGTGACAAAAGCGCTAGATATCAGTCGTCCTTCTTTCGGTGATAAATTCTGAGCAGCGAAACCAATTTCGTTCTTAATAATACAGATCTCGTTTATTTGAGGAGTTATAAAAAAAGAATCTGAATTTAACAGATGGTCACGCGCGGCGTCTTTTCTCTCATTCTTAAGCAAAATTCTAAGATATTTCCCATGCCCATGCGTAAGGGCATGGGAAACTTTACCAAGTCAGATTTAAATGTTCCTCTTTTTTCGATTTCTCTTCCCAATTTTCTAATCTATATTGTAAAAAATAGTTTTAAAATGTCTCTCGTTTTTATAAAACAAGAAAGAAAAAGAAAGGTTGGCTTCGTTCTAAATTCGGAGTTAAATATTAAATAAAATTCAGTAAAATAGAAACGGGGAGAATACTACGTTCTAGGAGACGACTGAGAAGTAATTAGAGACCGGAAGAAACACTGAGACACTCATTAACTCCGATCTACGCGCGGACTTCACTATTTAACTACTAATTAATCGAAAGAATTCGTTAAAGTACTTATCGGAGACGTAAATACTCCAAGAAGAGTAAGTCCATTCCATCGATCGGCGACTAAGAGAAGGAACGATTACAAACGCTAATGCACCGACATTACACAATCCGTAATACGTGCAGTTGTGGGATACATTCTGTTATTCACGTCACACACACACATAGGTCTATACATACTATCGTTTTATTGGCTATCGAAAGCAAAAAATCCTTCTAGGATCCCTATTCATAGTGGTAAGTGGCAAATATTCTTTCGACCTCTTGGATTTTTCTTTAGCGGCACGTAGCCGCTAGAGACACGTCCGGAGAGATGTCTTTTCCATTAGTAATCGCCGTCGGAAACCTATTAGCTGAACCGAGACTAAACGAAAGCCAATTACTATCGCCACGCGCCAATTCAGAGCACATTCGTTACGATTTCGTATCGACCATCCCATAATCCTTATGCAAATTATTCTTTCCTAGTTGCGGGCGTCCACGGCCCGGATATCGGAGAGTCGATGGCATCTCCAAAATTTGGGCAGTAGCCTTGCTCGGCGGTTGGATCCCGATGTTTGGGTTCAGTCTTTCAGAGTGTTTCGAACGCCAAGGAAGCAACGCTGGTTTCCGCTAGCGTCTTTCGGAGTGGAAAGAGTACAGAATTAGCGGTCACTGGGGAACAGAAGTAACCGATAAATAGTGATTACGGTTTACCAGCGAATGCAATTCGCCCGAGACGATGGTCGTCTTCGTGTTTTGATTTACTCTCCCGATCGAATATCACATTTAAGAAATCCATTGGCTCGGAAAGGAAAATCAAACACCTAGAAACGTGGCCGTTATAGAAGAACCTGTTTCCGGAAATCGGCGGAGGAAAGGTCACCGCGGCCATTAAACAGAAACAGGCGATCGATGGCATAAATAAGGATCGACGAAACTCTTCACCCACGTCTACCGACACAGATCGGGAAGCGTTCGAATCTTCTACACTTACGTCTGTGCCAACCTCCTTCCTGTCATGCCGTTCGACCTAAAGTACAGTACCTTACATTCGTCATCCGACATCGATCTAGAGACGGCAATCTCCGATCAAAATGGTGGAAACGTATGCACCGTCGATTCACGAAAATGACAAGAAGAAATGCGCGATCCAACTCTCTCTTCATTTCGCGTCATGAAGAACGTGCAAATTCAATTCTCGTATTTCCGGTTAAATTAAAGTGAACTCCTTAAAAAGAAAATTCTGGTTACTTTGGTACCGCGGTTGTTAGTTTACTCTCTAAACGACGCCGTCTCCACATTATTATAAGAACGACAATCTCCAGTTCGAAGATAACCAGTAGAGATCGTCAGTTATCTGATTCAGAAGACCGTTTATTCGGGATCGATCGACGGAAGATAAAGCGGAAGGAGCTTCTTCCGAACGCGCTCGACCCTTTCTCCCGCGATAACGTCCCAGCGGTTGTCGCTCTGTAGATTAATCGACTATCTCCTTTTCTTGGGTGGCATAGTCTCTCCTTCATTATGTTTTAAGCTTTATCTTTCCTCGCACCGCGCCCTTTCTCTTCTTATCTTCCTTTTTCTTCCCCCGAAGCGACTTTCCATCGCTCGTATATTTCGGATTAGAAAACGAAACGGAAAGGTTTTCCCCGCAATTTCCGTCGATTGCCATTAAATAAAAATTGATCGCTCCCTTCGATTAAACCCGCTGATAATCTCACTAATTGCGTTTACTTTTGGGCAGGTCTCTGGCTCGGGTGTGGCCCGTCACCGGAACTCCGGCCTCCGCCACCTGCTTCCTGGGAGCGGCCACTTCCTTCGTCTCTCTGATCGTCGGACTGGACGTTCTGGTCGAAATGATGTCCATAGGTGAGTGTGCAGTGCCCCGCCCTCGCCCGCCTCCTCGATTAAAAGAGGGAAAAGGAAAACAACTGGTCTCTCTCGTTCCGTTTCTTGCCTGGATTTAATGCGCCCGCTAGGCGAAAGAAAGAGAGGCGAGCATCTCGAAACACTGAGGGTAAAGAACCGTCCCTTTTCAGTTTCATAAGGAAGCCACGCGAAAAGGAGTCCGTCGGTCGCGCAGAATAATCACATTCCAAACAAATTAAAAGAAGAACAAACGATTGGGTCGATTCCCCGAGGGGTACGCGTTAAGAAAAGACAGATGCACCGGGAGTGGGTGAAAAGACTAATTATAAAAGTGAGATAAAGAGTGACGGAAGAAGTCGTAGAGTCCGGTCTTAACGGCTAGAGTACGAGTTTTACGCTTAAAATAGAGTGCTTCTTGGTTGTAACCGAACAGGGAAGAAATTTGTACGGGAGTAGGAGAGAACTAGTGTTCTCCCTACATCAACGAATCTCCAGGTTCAAAGATAAACGAACGGGAGATAATTTGGTGAAAATTCCCGTCCGCGCTTACGGTGGATCGGCACCAAGAATAAATGGCAGAAAGCGTCTGGCACCCAATTCGCTGGCAGAACAAGATTTTCCGTAATTGCGAAATAATTTACGAAGTAGCGATGTCTTGACAGGAATTATTTGACATGTCGTTTGTCGTTCTAACACCTGTAGGCTATTTGCGTATATAGAAGTGGACAGAATAGAACTTTTTCCGAACGGGCGGCAGATATAAAAACCGTTACCGATTTTTCCGAGAGAATTAGAAATTGTAGGTACGAGGAGATGCAGAAATAGAAAATTGAATTATTTTTAAAATTCCAAGAAGCGAATCATCGGATAAAACTGTTTAATCGAGTTTGTTTAAACGATACTTTTTTTAAAAAGTGGTAGTGGAGTAGAACAGGCAAAGAGGGCGTTGTTTGTTGTTTGTTTGGAACGTGAAAAGATGGTAGAATTAAAATTTTGCGAGAAAGAAACGTGAGCTGACTTAAGAACCAGTATGACGAAACGTTAGGGATAAGACGAACAATTTCTATTTTATAAGCAGAGCGGGGCCATAGATAAAATCTCTTGTCGTTAATTAGCGATCTACTCTCTATATTCATATTACAATACTTTTACCGGGTCTCTCTCTTCCGATATCGTCGATGTCAGGGGGTGACATCAAGTTCTTGTTTTTCTTTCACCTCCGTCCGAGCGAAGCGCCCCTTCGTCTCCGAAGATTCGGTCTTCGTATTTTCGCGGTGGTCGCCTCTCTTCCCTCTCCGGTTTCTTTTAAAGTGGGATTTTGTCGGGAGGCGGCGAAGGGAAAGGAAGGCGAGGTCGGCGGTAAGCGTTTGGCCATCTCTCGCCGCAGGTACCCTGATGGCCTACACCCTGGTGTCTACTTGCGTGCTGATTTTGCGCTACCAGCCCAGGAAGACTACTTTGGTGGAGCTGTTGCCCGAGAGCATCCGGTCGGCCTGCCCCACTCCGTCGAAGGAGGTGCCCGACTCTATCCTGACTGCCGGAACCACCACCGTCCGCGCCAAGCGGACCAACAGAGTAGAGTCTTCGGACAGCGACGAGTCTCCTCCCCCTGCTCCCGAAGACAACCCCGGATACGGCAGTCTGCCGGTGCCTCGAGCCGAGAAGGAAGAGCCGTTCACGGCCCCTCCGCACCAAGAGAAGAGTAAGATGTTGTCCTACCTGTTTCCCTACTGGAATCGTCCGGGTCCGGCCACGGAAAAGACGGGAATGCTGGTGATGAAAGCAGTGGGAGTCCTGTATCTGCTGATAGTCGGCATGGACCTGATCGTCGTCTGCGCCATGCCCGCTCTGGAAGCGGGAAGCGGCGCTGCCATCTTCTTTCTTCTCATCTTTCTCTTCGGTCTGATCGCCTGTCTCGTCGTCATCGCCAGACAACCCCAGTCCGAGTGAGTACCTTTCTGTCCTTTTCATCCCGCGACCACTGCTACGTTTCCGACGAAATTTTCGCTCGTGCGATCACGAGTCAATTCGCGCTAGAAAAATTTGGATTAATTCGAAAGGAACGTCAAATGTCTCGACCAAAACGGTCTTTCCATTCGTAGGGACGGAAGATGCTTGGCCTTTCACCGGCAGAGGCGGAGCTAAAGAGAAAACTAACCGTTACTTTATCCATTCTTCGTTTCGCCGTTAAACCGGAAAAAGAGCCAAGTATTTTTAACGCTAGACGTTATAAATATTACTTCATGCGCTTAAGTACGCTGGAATCGGAAGAACTCGGCCGCGAAAGTAGTGCTAGTGTGGAAAGCTGGTCCAAGAAGTTTCGTCTCGTATCTTCGGCGCAAAATTCTATTAATAGTTTAATCAGAATCTGGAATCCGAGTACAGATAAACTGGACGTTCGTGTGGCATTTTACCACATTTTGCTAGTTATATTCACAAGTCAGTTTGGAGGGAAAAACGTGTTTTGAACGGGAAGGAAAATATCTCTTTAAGTACTTTCCCAGAAGAGTGGATTTACCGTTTTTTCCGGTTTCAGGTGCGATTTGAAGTTCAAGGCTCCAGGGATCCCCTTTGTTCCGGTGGTGGCCGTCACCGTCAACATCTACCTGATCATGAAGCTGTCCATCCTGACGCTGGTGCGATTCACCGTCTGGATGAGTGTGGGTAAGTTCCTCCCTTCTTTCCTCTTCTCCCTCCGCACTCTTCCAGCCGAAAGGAATCTACTCCGTTCCGTAATCGCTTTTCTTCGAATAGTCTGATACAAATTTTCCAATCGGAGGTCGATTGTAGGATATGTTAGTTAAAACGACAGTGTTAATTGTTCTAGTTTGATACGTTTAGTGGTGTTTTCTGTATTAAAGTTACGCTACTGACTAGTAAGATATATGGGTACACCTAGAATGGGACGAGGCGTTTAGGTTGGAAAGAAGCGTTTGTAAGATTAATTTATTAGCAACAATAAAACAATACCGAAGACGGACTGATTTGTCTCTACAAAAATCCATATTGATTTTCACTGTGTAAAAAAAATCGTTATTGTTTCCACTGACGACGTATGCCGATCGAATTGATTAACATTTAATTATAAATGAATGGAATTAAAACTGTTCTTCGAAATTCGGCCGACTTTGGGCAGTGGCACCACGAAGGTGGTTCTGTTATTGTTAAGATAATTTTGCTTGAACTCTGCTTCACACAAGATAATAATCTGCCATTTTGTACTCTAACGAATGACTGAATTTGGTTGTATAAAATATTATTTTTTTATTATACTTCGTGGCAGAGTTCAGCAGAAAGATTTCATAAAGGTAGCTTTGCTACAAAGAAGCTACAAATATAAAAAAACTTTGCAGCTATTCGCGGATTAATTGTATAGAAGGGCTGGAGTCTGCAGAAAGCATTTTGTCCATTGTTTTCTGCAGTTTACGCATTGTTTTCTTGCAAAACGATCGAACCTATTGCACATATGATCGGAAGAATTTCATCTTCGACATACGTTGTTTTGCAGGAAGGACGACTCATTATATAGAAGAGACGACGCATCACATCGGAATGATTTCGTCAAAGTACGAACAAATTAGTATGTTGCTCTCAAGAAAATTATTCTACAGTGTTTTTAAGTTCTAGTATGCATAAAGTTTGATGTGACAGATATTTCATTTAGATTTATAGCTATTTTTGCAGAGTATCGTATCGAATTGAGGAGCCAAATAACAGGAGGAGATACAATTGGAAGAACATGAATAGGTTTAAACTGTAGAATAGTGTTTGATTTTTCTCACAATAAAGTGTAATATAAATGACACAAGACTTTCTTTAGGCCTTGTGTCATTTATATTAATCATTTATATTTATTTAATTATATTCAAAGTAACAGATCGATTTGCAAATAACCGAAGGCGGCTAACATCACCCGAAAAAAAAAAAACTGTAGAAAATTAGTGTCTTAATCCTAAAGTAATAAATGAATGAATAAAGAGAGGAATATGTCTCGTAGTTATTTTGGCTCCTATTGGAATTATGAAAGGTAATATTGTGAAAAGTTCGTACAATTCAAACTTATTTCTGTCATCATTACATCATATTTGACGAAGCAGTCCATAAATTATAATTACTTACCACCATATGGTACTCGCCATAACTGAATCCTGTTCTTTCGCAATCAAAAGCACTAACTACTAAGTGACACCAAAACCTACAACAACGGATGAGTCGCTGCGCTGCTTCGAGTTCAGAATGAAATGTATAAAATATTGTTCTAGTTATCTTTTCGGTGAGAATTGCTTCTTACAAATATTTACATAATGCAACAAATAAAAAGACATAATAATTTTCGCGTGAGCAACATACTAATCTTTCCATATTTTGACAAAAATCACTCCGTTAAATCTTACGACGTGTCGTGCATAATGAGTCGTATTTCCTGCCAAACGCCGTATGTTGAAGGTAAAATTCTTTCGATCCCATTCATGCAATTTGTCCATTGCTTTCTGCAGCCTCAAACATTTCTGTGCAATTAATCCGCAAATAATTGCAGTGTTTTTGTATTTGTAGCTACTTTGTAGCATAGCTTCTTTTGTGAAATCTTTCTGCTAAAATCTGCCACGAAGTGTAATAAAAAAATAATATTTTACACAACAAATTCCATCTACGGAAGAGAGAGACACAAAATGGGCAGATTCCTTTATTTGAAAAATTTATAATACGTAAAATAAATGAAATGACTAAAATCTTATCGATTAATAAAATAATTAGATACATTTAATGTATCTATATATATAACCCATTCATTTCGTGTCCGTCCCGTAACCGTTTCATAACGGACACTAGAGGCGCCCCTATCGTGTGTCATATTTCAAACATTCAAATTAACAATTTTAATTATTATTTAAATTAACAATATAAATTATTATTATTCATTTGGCCAATAAATTATTATTTGGTCAATATAACAATATAAATAATTCAGTATATTTGTAATAGGAATTTATTATTTCAGGGGCTTATATCTCGCGAAGGGTCGCGAGTAGGGGTATGGTTCCTTTGACTTTATTGTTCGCACAGGGGGCTACAGTTTGGGGGGATCGCCACCTCTTCATTCGGAGGGTAAATCTTACCATTCAGACTTTTACAGAGCTGTAGGGCATATTGATAGGAACAAAAAAGTCAAAGGAACCGTGCCTCATGGAAATTTGTAAAGAACGCCCATTAGGGGGCGTCCCTGGCTACTAGTTTTTAGATAACATAATAGGAATTCAATCTTTTGTTTTTAATTCGAAACTCGCACAAAATTTTGTTAGGTAATAGCCTGTATTATAATAACGAGCAAATATTTATTTTGTGACATTGTCACAGTGCCGGGCTGCAATTTTCAATGTATTTAATTTAAAATATGTGCTTTCTACCTTAAATTAGTAGTGTCTTGCCCCTGTACATCATACTTTTCCTTTACCATTAAAGTCGTGCCGATCATCTATCTAACACCCTTCAGAGGAAAATTTTTGAATTGAAATAAAGTGACTTCCGGTTTGCAATCACAAATTCTTATACAGTTAATTAGGACCTCCTGCCCTTAAGGTTTCCATACATAGTCTCGGATTTCATCTATCTAACTCCGTTCTCGAGATTAAGTTAAAATTGACGGACGGACATACGATAGTGTGAATTTATAGGTCTATAACTTTTTCAAATTGCAGACCAATAAAGCATATATATTGTCTCATCTATTGCCGAAGCTACTAGGAACTTGTGTACTAGATTATTATAACAAAACCGGGCGCTCTTACCCTACTTTCCTTTAAATAAATAAGGTATTAATTTATGTAGTAATATAATTATAATAATAATAAATAAATAAGGCAGATTCTTAATTAATTTCAACCATTTCGAACTTTATATTTCTTACGAGTACAATTATTTATGCCATTGAATCACTGTAAATGTAAATAAGTAACTTTAACCTGACTTAAGTAGCTTTTAAATTATTCCTACTCTTTTAATTAACATTAATCGCGGTTTATTAATTTTAAATCAAATTACGCTTTGTTTAATAATAGGTAAATATAATGAAAATGCGATTAAAATGAAATTATCGCTTGTGGTAATATAAGTTAATAGAGTTGAATATCTTATAGATATTCTATTCTGCAAAGTAGAGTTGGTTTTAAGGTAACACGTGGTAATGATAGAATGAAAATGGTACTATAATAATAATTTAAATACGTTACAATCTTAAATTATTCGGAAAAGTAGACTAAATTTGAATATAACCTATAAAACAACTGCTCAAATCGTGTACTAGTGTTCGCGACACTAGTTGTTATCAACTAAGAAGTTCAAGATCCAAAAAAAAATGAAAGTGTTAGCTATCTTATATATATTTTATTAATTTAAAACTGTTAAGTAGTGACATATAGCATGAAATTACCGCACTCAACAAAACAATACATCCCATTAAACAAAATCATTTAACTGTCAGAGAAATTCATATAAACTATGGCTGCAAGTGCTGATATATAGTATATAGGAGTATGTATTTTTATGTGCCTTATTAATGCGCTACCATGAGAATCAATTTAGATTTAATACTGCCTATTGACTCTTTGAAATGTTCTTAATGAAATAATGTATAGTAACGTCAGAAAGAAATGTTTCGGAAAGACTGGAAGACAAAAACTTGCAAAGTGCGCACTCCTATAAACGTAAGTTATAACTATTTGTTCAATGCTTTTATGATGATATTATATGATAATAGGAAAAATAGTTTATATATATATATATAATTACATTTAAAAATACACGTGCTTTACAGCAATATGATTCTTTCAAATTCTTTTTATTAGAAAATTATACTGATGAAATAATTTTATTGATATTTTATGATTATTTGGTGTGAACAAGTGCTGTTTAACATAGGAAGAATGAGTTAATAAATAATCAGGCCCGCTGAAATTGTGGGATTTTTATTGATTTCAATTATATTATACAATTTTCTCGACAATCAATTGTATAATATAATTGTATAACTGTATTTATAAATGAGTTTATAAAGTTCAACACTTAAAATAAACACTTTTAGACTTAACACTTTTTTCAATGATATCTTACCAATATTATATTACCAATTATTATCCAATTATTATTACCAATTTTTATTATCCAACTTATTATCCAACTATATTACCAATGTATTATCAGGATCTCTAAGAGTACGTGCATACTCTTGAACGCATCTATCTTAATTAAAAAATAAATCATAATAAACATCATATTCCACTCAAGTCCTGCCAAAACCTAACTGATAAAGCAACCTAAATTTATGTTAACAAACAAAAATCATCACTTCCACTTTAAAGATTTCAGAGCCCATTATTTCTCAAAGTTTAAAATATTTCAGAAGGAGGTTGAAATTTTCACTTACAAGTTAGTTATTAAAACTACAAGGTACAATTTAATGATTCACAATTCACGAAAACTCAACCTTCTTTCACACGTTTTGTATAACACTAATCAAACAATCGACATTGCCCGTATCGAGAAAATTAGCATTCATCAAGTTGCGTAACTTTCCCGGCGAAAAAATTTATGTTTAAGAAAGATATTAGCAGTTTAAAAACTTGTGTAGCGTCATTTATTATGAGATTTTATTTTTAAAATAATTATTATATTATTAATTATAATAAAAAGACAAAAGTCTTACTTTTGAGTGTACAGATGAATTTTTATTTGGTAAACTAAAAATTTGTATGAGTAAAACAAATTCATAACTTCAAAACTTTTTGAGAAATGTCCCCTATCCCGTTAATATCTTTGGAATCAATGGTCCGATTTTCCTAAAAATTTCTAAAAGCATTTTCCCCTAATACACAAATTACCTTCAAAATTTCAGAAATTTTCGACAAAAGGCATAGATGTTATTAAGCTTCAAAGTGGGTGAAAAATCGTACCTCACACCGGGGTGATGGGGAGTCGGCGGAAAAAATACATGACTTCCGAGTCGATACTTTTTTAAAATCGATCCCGACTCCCATAAAAAGATTCGACTCCTCGACTTTCTACTCTCCATCCCTGTCCTCCACACACACACGCAAACACAAACATCAGTGGAGCATTATCCTATGGACAAAAAGAGAAATTGCCTGGGGGTCCCACCAACAGGGTGCCCCCAAACCAATATTTCGAGAAATAACATCAAGATTTATAGTAAATTTTGCGCCATATCTGAGGATCCTAGATTGCCGGTGTGGCGCAGCAAAGAACTTAAGTGATTCGTTTCGCTCGCTTCCACCTCGGATCACCCCTCCTTCCCTTCGTTCCCCTTCAAAAATTTCGTGACAATTCATCGATTCCCGGTGCTGCCGTTTCTATTTTGTTTTCTCGTAACGGAAATATGTCGTGACAATTTTAAGTTTATTATTTTATGTATATAGAGCAGACGCATAGTTATAAAATCTATCAAATACTTTTTTTGATGTGAAGCGAAAGCAAGGTTCTAAAGATGCCGTGAAAAGTCTGAGGTAATTATGAACCTCAGATAGAAAAATTATATCAAGTAAACAGCAGCATATTTCCCATATTTGGTTCCATAATAATCACATTATTTTCTTTATACACATATTGTACCGAGTTTATTGTTATTTTCTGGTATAGATTATAAAGTTATATAAAATAAAATTTGTAAGCAGTTTTTGTTAGGTTTTTTTTTAATTATTCAAATTAAATATTTGACCCGCGAATTGGAGTTACTGTAATAAATTTCGAATTCAATTTTGACCCACCTTCGGATAAAGATTCGCTATCATTGGCCTATCGGAAATGATAAAATAATGTTTCATACAGCAAGCGTTGGTATGATGTTATTACCTAAAAAAATAGTTTGCAACATAGAAATTACAACGCGGTTCCAAAGTATGACTATCTTACAGAAATAGTTATTTGCTCCACCATTTTAGCCAACTTAATTTCTTACTTGTTAGTTTCTACGTTACCGAACACTACTGGAAGCTTCACTTTCGAACTACCTATTCGAGCACCGCCTGGAGGAAATCACTTTGACGAAAATATTGACACGTCCATTTTTAGATTTGCCTTTATAGAAAACTAAAAAGCGATGTTAAATACCCTCTTAAAATACTATATTTCGTAGTTCTAACATTTCAGATTTTATGCATTTTTATTAAAATATACTAATTTTTTATAACGTGATTTTTCGAAACGCGAGAATGAATTACAAAACGGAAATTTCGAAGGTTGAAAAAATTCTTTTTCTAGCGATGCCGGTAAAGAGAGTGAGTTTATTAACTGATGTGTGTTTTTTTTTCAGGTCTACTGATGTATTTCTGTTACGGCATAAAACACAGCACGATAGAGAAAGTAGAGGACGGACCTTTCGAGTTGCAGATTCCCCGGAGGACCGCGGAGAAGGCCGAGGCCCGAGATCTTTCCTGGAGGACGACGGAGACTCCCGCCGACGACACTTTCGAATCGGAACGTCACCCGCCGGCGAGCAAACAGTGGGAAACGTTCGAGTGAATTTTGTTATTTTTCGCGCGGTCGCATCTTTTCTCTATTCCATTGTAATTATGGTTAAGTGCCGCCGAATGGTTTTCTTCTATTCGGCATCCCCGTCGTTGTCGATATCAAAATATAAAACATTTCGTTCCTTCCGAATCCCTGTTCTTTTCCTTTCTTTTTCTTCGCGACGGTATCGCAATCCGGTGACCGAAAACGAAAGTATTTCGTTGACGTCTTAGAATATATAAAGGTGGAGGAGTACAGTCGCTTTTAATTCGAGTCGAGCCGTTTAGTTCAGCAGCTACTTTTAGTGATTTAACGAATCACAGGTAACTTAGTTACTAACGGCTCGTTTTTCTTTCTTTCGCTTAAAACTATAACATTGCAAATTATTAAAATTAAATAAATAAATAAATTCTAAAACGAATTCCAGAAGTATTGCTTCAATGCAGTGGCGTAATTATTGATATATACGAGTGGACCCCTGTGCAGCATTCCCAAAACGAGCCTTCATTGGGCTATCTGTAATATTTTTGGCGACACGGCCTAACATAAATAAAATTATAAAGTAATAAGTAGCTTAATTTATTCATTTTAAAAGTAATAAACTATAGAAACATCAGTATACTGTAGTCCTACTTACTTTGTGATGAATACTGGCTGCCTAATTTTTTTTATGGATTTAATTACATCGAATATATCCACTGCCTTGGACAAGTCCAGTTTCTTCTTTTCTGAATTTTTGATAGAAAGTAATGCTAAATCACTTAATCTCCCTTCGGCCACTGAGCACAAAAATATTCCGGAAAATTGAATATTTACACAAGATGTGATATTTTCGAATCCTGCTTGTGAATCTATCGATGTAAATCTTATTTTCAACAAGAAGGTTCATGTATAGTTCTTATGTCTTTCAACAATAAATGTGATATATTAACCACATTTCACTTTCATTTCTCAAACCCCTTAAAATGAGAAGTATTTCCTATTAAATCATTAAAAACTATATACAAATTATTTTAAAATGATTTTCGTATTAAAAAATGTAAATGTACCGTACCTGTTACAGAAATATAATGCATATACTTTTTTAATAGATAGGAAAAATATTTTAATGTAAATAACAGCAACGAAATAAATAAGAAATTCAAATTCGCGCAAAGTTTACCCGATTATACTCCTCTAATTATTAATATTATATTATTTTGATCGTGTGGAGGTTGCCACATTTTGAAGTGCCACTGTACTGTACGTAATCACGTTTCCCACGGTAATCAGTAAAAGTAAACATTTTTTCCTATCGGAGTATTTTGAGCTTGCCATGTTTCTTCCTTCTTCAAGAGATCCGCTCCTAGCACTGGTCAATCGGCACCGTCACGGGAATAATTCTCTTATGTAATAAAACAATTATGTTGGTAGAGTGGAGAAGCCAAGTGCTCCTAGTTGCTTAGGAGCCCAGTGCAACTTGCAGGTAACATAAATGGTAGTTATGCGTGAACGGAGTCTTTATGACTCCACTCGCTGACAGCTTTATTAAAATGACTCGTTCCGAGCGCATTTATTAACGCAAACCATATGCAGTTTTAATACAGACTCAGACTCGTACTCTCACCCCTGTTTATGTATTCTAAGGTTCACGATCTTCCTTTCGATTTTCTGCCGGATTTTTATTTGAATTTCGAAGTGTTCCTGTTAGTCGGCTTTATTAGGCTGAGTTTTCGACCATAAATGTCACCGGCGCGTCTTGGCATCGAAGAATTGTGGGATACCTTTAGCCGTTTGATTTTTTAACCCTTTATATTTATTACGGATGTTTGGAAGTTGAAATTAAAAAAGAAAAATCCAAATTTGAAGTCTTTCGTTTTACCATTTTCGATTAATCAGTTTGTTTTCGTCCGATCATAATTTTAAGTAATTTTTTTTAAATTAAATTTAATGACAAAGTATTAGTAAAACGTTATTAGAGAGGTTGCGGCCGAAGTTTTCATCTCTCAAACGTGAACGCCGTCAAGCGACGTTCGACGTTCACGTTTGAGAGATGAAAACTTCAGCCGCAACCTCTCTAATATAACTGAATTACTCTTTGATTCATTAACTATAGGTAAAATATGCAGAGATGGCCGACTTTACCAAATAAATAAAATGAAATAATTTCACCGAATAACCAATTGTCGCTGGTTCCTGGCGATAATGGTAAAACACGTTTCATGAAAACACATGCGATAGATGCGTGTGACGTCACCTCTCGTTAAGTGTTTAAGATGTGAATAGATGGTACTGTACATCCGAGACTCCAATACGTCACACGTATTGGAGTCTCGGATGTACTGTACTGTATGTGCATTTTGCCCGGCGCCATATTTGTGACGTTTCTGTTCTCTTTTAACCTCGCCTGATACATGACAGAGTAACGAAACTTTAAATGGGGGAAAGCGTAAACTTTGTGTGGTTCACGTAATAAAGAGATGCGATGTTCGTAAATTTTAAAACAGAATAAAAATTCGACAATTACAAAAAAGATTACCACACAGCACTATGCAATGGTAAATACAACTACCATAAAACGTACATTTTTAGTCAGTACAGCGATACAAAGACAAAGTGTTATAGTTTGTTTTAATGCACTTAAATTTCTCTTGCTAGGAAAGATATGTTCTGAGAAACTCTTTACTAAAATCTTTGGATCAACCCAGCCACTTGCTACAAAATTCAGCTTTAGGTGATCTGTATGCTTTTGTGTTGTTAAGAGTTAAAATTGGGTTATTAAGACAATGTGTCACCATATTCTATCTTCGGCCGCGTACTACGATCCTCTAAGAATGAATTCGAATCATCTTCGTATAGATTAACTCCACTATACATTAAAATTTTACTTTTGTACCAGTCGGCGCCCTGACTAATAAGAGTTGTTAAATAACCTATTAAAAAATCCGGCAACGAGTTGCGTAACTTTCTTGGCCGTTGTGAGATCTTAATTAAAAAATAAATTTTATATTATTAAACATAAATAAATTTGTGTATGGCATCATTATTTATGAGATTTTGTTATTAAAAAAAACTTTATATTTTTAGTTGTTATAAAATGACAAAAGGCTTAATTTTGAGGGTAGAGATGAATTTTATTTAAAAGATTGTAAATGTTAATAACAAGTAAAATTTTCATTAAGTTCCGACCCTACTCGAGATATGTTTTACCATCCCCTCGAAAATGAATGTTTTGCCATCTTTTAAACGCGATAAACGGTCAGACGCAAGCCAAACTATACACACCTCCACGAACAACACAGCATAAATATGGCGCAAGAGGCCGAGCGATAACGATTTGGTGACGTGGGATGACGTTCATGCAAGTTCTCTATACGTAGGCATGGTTTACATTTAAACATAGCAACGGGCGCGTTCCAAACAGCTTATATCAAATCAGCTATGAGAAAATTTCAACAAAACGTTTTTAGTCTCATCACATCAACCAATCAGTTCAACAGACATGCAACACGCTTATCTCAGCCGAAATGTATTAAGTAAATTTTCCAACTCCCGAAGAGTTAATTCCAGGAGATTTGCATTCCAGGAGTAAGAATCCCGGGAGATTTGATATCTTTTACTGAGCAATATCAAAATGTTGTTTGCCTATTCTATCTTTTATTTTAATATAAAACCCAAAAATTGAACATCATGTCGAGTGAATGCGGAAAGAATACGTCTCAATTTAAAAGTCTAAAAATTTAAATTTTTTTCCAACTTCCGGAAGTCTCCTGGTGAGCACAGGACAGTTACCAACATTAGTGTTGAGTGTATTGAACTACATCGTGGACGTGATGACCGGATGGCCGAGACAGTTATTACGTCAGCCTATCGCTCTGGAGACCCGAAATCAAATCAGGGCGAGCCATCAAGGAATTTTCGAGGGATGGTATTTTCTTTACTTCTGTAGGCACTCAGAGGGCCTTTGTACTGAGAGAAGGGTCCGATGTATCCGAGATGAACCACCCATCATCCCCCAAAAATTCCTCGACTTCGCCTGAATTCGTTCCCGGGTCTCCTAGAGAGATAGGATGTTGGAAAAATTTTATTTTGTTATCAATGATAACATACGGTTAAAAACAACAATAATTATATTATATTAATAATATATTTTTATCTATGAAACTGAAAAATAATAAATTTTTATAAAATTCAATAGAAAGGGTAAATGATAGAAATAATTTAATAGATTAAATCAAATTCATAAAATAAATGCTTATTCATTTTTTAATGTTTTAATGTTTGTGATAAAGAGGTAATAGCGAGATTGCGGCCGAAGTTTTCATCTGTAAAACGTGAACGTCGAACGTCGAGCGCCGCTATCTTGTAAGGTACGTTCGACGTTCACGTTTTAGAGATGAAAACTTCAGTCGCAANCGCTCGACGTTCGATTTTCACGTTTTATAGATGAAAACTTCGGCCGCAACGTCGCTAATAATTATTATCGAAATTTTTATTTACAACGAATATTTTCTAATGATACAATGGCTAATAATAACTTCGTAGGCTAAATATATTTTGCAATTTCTCTGTTTTCGTTGTCATCACGATTTTCTCTCAGCAATACGCTAGTGTTGAATAGGTCTTGACGTCATAATAAGCTAATCAATTGTAAACTGCAGCTGAGCTTTGGAACGTACCCAACTACAGTTCTCTATGCAAGCTACGAGGTACTGTACTATACTGTACTGTACAAAACACAGGTGAACCCGTTGCGCATGCGCTTTCTTGGAACTCCTTCCTGCAATTACCGCCACCTGTAAGAACTATTAGAACTAACAATGACGTGTCTAAATGCTACGTCATTGGAGATAAAAATAGCCGTGACGTATTTCGTGCACGCAGTTTATACGTTATTATTTATATATATTTTTTTTTATTTTAAAATAGCAACTTAAAATATTTTTATATTTTAAAAATATCATACTTTTGACCAGTATTTGTTTTACGAAACAAAATGAATTAATGCACTAAGTAATTACCGATTAGTATGGATAAAAGACCAAACAATACATAAGCTACTGTGTGTGTATATATATTTTTTAAATATAATTCTTTAATAGTATATATATATAGCCATGTAGGTTATATTTGGTGAATTCTAATGAATAATTCTTTAATAATATTTATTTATTTATTTATTTATTGGAATTCACCAAATACTATATAGCCTACGTGACTTACTGTATCCCCAGACTGTAATGCCAAGTAAGTTTCATTCGCAAAGTGATTTATAAAGGACATGTTACACGTAGCTTATTCTATAAATATTTTTGTTTCGAACGAATATTGGATGTCTGCAAATTTGTTTCCACCAAGTCCTGCAGTTTGGAGTACAGAACAGAAATTGTAAGGACAGATATTCTCGAAGCAATCACGAACGATCTATCGATTAAATGTTGCTGGCGTGTCACCGAGGGTTCACTTAAAGATACGATATTAAGAAAAAAAAAAGTGAATATCATATGAATTCTACCGATCAGTAAACATTCAGTTGAAATATTACAACAAACTATATAACTTTACAACAAATTTCACTCCGTACTTACTTAATTTGTTAAATAATACGAGATTGTTAAGTAGAATCTTCGTTAAACTTTCATCGGCGTTAGTTTAAAGGCACAAAGACTACCATTCACATATGAAAATACAAGTCGCATCTATTTCTCTTTTTAATTAATAACTAACATCTTGTTTGTGATAGAATAACACTATCTCATATATAATAACTTTATTAATAGACCCGATGTAAAAATTCAGGTACAGGCATGATCTGAACTTCATTACGACGTGCGTATCTTTCAATATAACCTGGAGTCTTTCGGTCGATATTTACGTAGGAAACAATTATATTTGTATTTGTATCGGGCGAATCCTGACCAAAATTTTTTGAGCATGCTGAAAGTTATAATAAGAATAATAGACCTATCTCTAGCACTAATAGGCATAAACGTTATTTGGTGTGAATAAAAAAGTATGGACTATTATAAAGCCCATTATATCTACATATGAAATATATAATAATGAAAAAGTATTAAAAATTTATGATAATAATTCAAGTTTTGTGAGTCCTTGACATTGGAGAACCAGGGAAGCTCAAGCCCTATTAATTCCTATACAGTGTGTATCAGAATGACGTTTTAAAAATTTGAGGGATTGTAGAGGATGAAATTTTAAACTTTTTGATATAAGGAAATGTGATATAAAGTTTCTGCAGCACTTTACACGTTCTATGCGGTCGGTTTGCTGAATGAAACAGCAGAATACAGTATTTATGACAAGTTTTATTGTCAAAACAGTAGAGTACAATCAAACTGTACATCGAATCAGTGGCTGCACTACTTTAGAGTAAATGTTCAATGTGACGACTACCAACTTCGTTACATAATGTGCAACGACGAATCATGTTTTGTCCGACCCTCTGCAAGATGCCACGCTCCCCTCTGATGGTATTAAATGCTGTAAAGATGCGCTCCGTAAGCTCATGAACTGTTCCTAACAAGGGACTCACGTTGACTAGTTGTGTGTTTATAGCACAGCGCCAGTGGATGCAAGGGATGACCTGAAGGACGGCAAGCACTAAGTACACAACGTCCTGTGCACAGGCTCAGTTAGACCACTGTAGTTGTGTGTTTAGTCTTCCATCCGCAGCAATAATATGACATCAATGGATAGAAGTGTAGCTACCAAAGTAAAGGGCGGTCAAGCACTTCCTACCGCTGTAGACACTTTAGTTCAAATTTCTGCCTATAGTTCCTTATATCAAAACGTTCAAAATTTCATCCTGTACAATTCCCAAATTTTTAAAACGTCATTCTGATAT